AAGGTATACACTGGATCAGTTCATGCATTCCCTGGGATTCGAACCCATGACCTCGCGTTGCAAGTTTGAGCTAAAGGAATGCATACTGTGCTATAATACAGAAATGGCAAGGTCATTTCCTCCCCGACTGAATCCCAGTATTAGTTCTCACAGTTTATTCTTCTCAGAATGCAGGAAGGTTTTGCACTTGTTTTACATTGATTTGCACAGAACAGGAAAAACGAAGCCAAACACCAGGGATGCGACAGCGTTTAAGGAGACGTGGGCAGCAGGGTTTTTTTTTGGCTCTGTCTTCCCACGGCCTCGCCCTCCGCTGGCGCTGCATCACGCTCTCGCCGTTTTATTGGCTCATTTCTGCTCTCAGGGGTCTCAAAGTACAGAGGAATCGTAAGTTACAGTGTGGGAACTGTCTCAGCATTTTACACAAGTATCTAGCCAATGATTTACTTGGAATAACAAAGTTTCCCCATTTAATTGTACTTCAGTACTTACAGTAAAGGTAAAGCAGCATTAGAAATGACAACTTCAGGTAGCAGTCAGGAGTTTTTTCTTGCATGTCACACTTTATTTCAATAGTCCACTTCAGACGTTTTACTAACTATAAGTAACTTTGCAACTGCATGTCAGCTAACTCTCGTCAGAGCATCAGTGGACTGTTAGGTTAGGATTAGTAGAATAACCTGACATGCAAAAATACTTATAATCAGAGCTGGGCAGATTACTTACCAATTGTACTCCGTTACTGATTCCAAATGACATGAGGGAAATTGTAGTTTGTAGTATAATATATTGGATTACACATATTTGGTAATGTATTCCGACTACTTTTAGATTACTTTTGGTGTAACTCGTCAGAAAATATATTCCATTCTTTGATGTCAACATCATGAAGAGTATTAAACACTACATTACTCCAGGGTTTCCCAAACCGGGTTTCATGAAAGAAAAAATCATCATGTTTGCATGTTTGTAATTAAATCCTAAAAATTTCAAATTAAAATAAAGAACTAATTTTAAAAGGAAAACAATCAAAAACAATTAAAATAAAGGTGACTTGACTTAATTTTTAAAATCTGATTACCTAATCCAGATGACATGTAATCAGTTACTACCTTATATTATGATTATAGTTAGTTAGTTAGTAAGTCTGTTGTGTTAGCAGATATAAGCAGACAGTCTACTATTACTCTAATGACTGCTAGTTGACATGTAGTTGCAAAGATACTTATCGTTAGTAGAACGTCTAAAGTGGATTATTCAAATAAAGTGTTACCCTAAAAACATAAAGTGCTTCAGTTTTGTAGTGTGCACTTGACTTAAAGTGGAAATACATTTTTAAAACATTCATGAGGGTGAAATCAAACCCAGTAGAAGTTTGTTTCAACAGTAAAACGAATCAGAGCTTAAAGTATGTTGTAAATCACACAAAAGTACCACAACATCCACCATAAACGCCGATGAAACACACGAACCAGATCCGGGAAAGTGAAGAGGTCAGATATTAAACAAACAGTCGCTGGTAGCCATTGATGTCAATAATATTTTTTTTCATACTATGGAAGCCAATGGCTACCAGCAACTGTTTGGTTCCCAACATTCTTCAAAATATCTTCTTTTGTGTT